AAGTGGCGTTCGTGAAGATGAGCAGCGACTTCAGCTGAAAACCCAAACGTGATGAGCTCACCCGCGAGATGCCAGCCGCCCCGTGGGATGGGCAGAATGCATCCTCGGTGCTCCCGTTTTGTCCCACCGAATCCTAAAAATCTTTTTTCCCAGGCCTGAGGTTCAATAAAAGTAGTCATTTATACTGCTTCATTAAGGACTTTCGTGAGAGAAACTGGTTCTGTGTTTAGCGCTGAGGGCTCAGAGACACTGGTTAGCACGGCCCAGCCACTTCGAGTTTCCTGCCCAGGCCGGGCAGCTTGGGGGCAGCTTTTGCCCCATCTGTGCAGCACCAGCACTGGGAAGACAGCAAGTAACATGTCAGCATTATTATGAACCGTTTTTACCTTGCAGAGCCACTGAAAGGGCCCCGGAGACCTGCAGGAGTCCATGCGCCTCACTCTAAGAACTGGCCCCAAACTGGAAAAAACTGCGGTGCCCATGAACAGTGGTGCAGACATTCAGTACTGAAGTGAAATGCTACACAGCAGTGAGTGGCAGTGAACTGCCGCTGCTCGCAGATCTGTGAAGAAATCTAAAACCAGGACGTACACAGATGAAGCCAGACATGAAGGAGCAGGTGCCATGTGGCTCCACTCATGTCAGTTGGCTGCAGGCTGGACCCACTGAGGTCCTGGTAGCACCGCCCTGCTGCCATCACTGGCAGAGGCTTCCGGGCTGTGAGCCAGGCCGCAGGCGCGAGGGGGTGGTGCACACCCACTCCTTGTGTCACTTCGCCTGGGTATGTCCTACTCTTACATGGCGTTCACTGGCAGAATAGGGAGGTTTTGAAGTCCTGCCCATCAAAGAGAAAGTCAAGTGGGAAGAATCACCCCTTCCCAAAGACAGATGAACTCTCAACAGTGGAAAGGGGTGTTTTTATTGAACAAATTATTAACTGAAAAGATTGTTTAACTTTTGAGAAAGACAAAAAATATATGCAACACAGGAGTGAACTGTCCCGATAAATCCAGCTAGAAGTCATCTCTCTCTAATGGACACATATAGCTTAAAACTAGGGATTCGGAAGCCCTTCTCAAACTTTTTATGGACTGAAATTTAAAGTTCTGTCTGTGGACTTGTGTCCATAATATAGTAATGATTATATAGTAAAATCAGTACAAGGAAGGTGGGCTCCCTGGGACTTGTCAAGCCTGGGTGCTCAGGCTCAGGAAAGGAGTGAGGACATCCATCCATCTGGTCACTGAGCTCCAGTTGGATACGAGACTATGGGACAGGTGCTGAGGACAAGAACAGCTAGGGAACCGGTCATCCAGAAGAGCCCGGCTGAGGGCCCTGGTCAGCCCCACGGGACGTGGGTGATGGCAGCCCCCAGCCACCGAACCCTTTTGGAAGACCATGGTGCTGCCAAGTTCTCTCACTTTATGATTTTGGTATTACCACAGTTTTAATGGTTGGGTTCTTTTTCTTTGGTTTTAGCTTCTCCCCACCCTGGAATTTCAATAGCAACTGGTGTTTTTTAAACTGGCCATCTGTAGCCAACACTGCTTACTGTGGCAGCAGGATGCACATGACTGTAGAATATAATGACACTCTGATAGATGGACACACGTATGTCAAAATATTTTTTCTCTATCATGCACTAAGTCATCATGATGCTTGGTCCACAAAACTGCACCGTGATTGGAGTCGGGGAGGAGTCCTGTCCTGGCATGCCTGGAGAAGCAGGGCCAGGGGTTCTCCTCCTCCCTCTCCCTGGTATGAGAGTGCCAACCTGTTGGTCTGTGGTTCAGCGTGGTCGAGAAACATGGTAAAGCCATGGGCCCCACCCAGCTGCGTCGTCTGGGGCTTTTCCTGTGCTTGTTGGTTCGGTGGTGCTGCCAGCCCAACCCTGCAGACTCGAACATGGCCAGGCCCTGCATGTTCCGCCTGTCCTCAGCTTCCAGAGCCCATGGAAGCCTTGTTCCTGAACCTGACCCTCTCAGATCCTGAAGCTAGACCTGTGGGCAGGGCCGGTCCACCTGGCTACGGGCAATCAGCTGCACAGACTGGCAAAGGGGCCGCTGCCCACATCCTGAGGGGAGAACTCATGGGCCAGGGAGGAAGGCGGGTGAGCACAGGTGTGTGATTGTTCCTGTTATCGCGGCACCGGTGATGATGGCCACTCCCTGTGCTGTTTGGAGCAGAGATAGGCCCGCTTGTCCTGCGGCCCTGCCTAGCAGGTGTGCTTTCAGATAAGTCAGTGTATACAGCACTCCCATGTCAATCACTGGTGGGTGGTGTCCAGCCCAGCATCCTGCTGCTCAGCAAAGCCTCCTCTTGCCGGCCTCACCTAGTGCCTCCTGTCTGTGGGTGAAGTGAGACCCTGTGGTCCCTGCTGGCCTTTCCCGGACCCCTCTAGAATCAGCCCCTCCGGCTCTCTCATGATTTGGGGGGCCACAGGGAGCATCCCTGGGCTGTGGAGTGAGGATACTGCCCCCCAGCTGCTGGGCAGGATACCCCTAGCGCACGGGTTTCTTCCTCCTGTTGAGCCACCTGTGAACGCTCTCGTGGCAACAGGACCTGCCCTGAACCCCAAGGGGCCAGAGGCACATGGGGCCCCCTCCGCTCCCCTCCGGGTGCAGACGGTTAAAGGGGTCCCTGCCTCTCTGGGCGCTCCCTCTCATCTCTTGCTTGCCTAGTCTGCCTGAGCCCCAGCATCCTGGTGGGTCCTGAGCCTGCAGACGGAAGAGTGGCCCCGGCTTCCTGTCCGCCCCAGGTGCTCAGTGCCCTGAAGGGACACCAGGCAACACAAGCTCACGCTCTCCTGGTGTGCATGGGAAGAGAGAACCGTCCATCCACAGATGTACTTGAAAGTCATACTTTGTGTGCCCAGAACTCACAGTGGTTACGTGAACTCTGGCCTGCCATGTCGCTGCAGGGACCCAACAAGCCTCGTGATGCCCTTGAGGGGAGACCCCCGACCAGCCTTTGCTGCCAATGGGAGTGTTCTGTTGCAGAAACAGCAGCGCTGGCATAACAGCGTGGACTGGCTTCTGGAAACCCAGGGATTTGCTCCTGTTTCCTTCCACATTGACTCCTCAGCGCGGTGCTTTTTAAGCTGGCTTTTGTGCGACTCTCCCTAGGCAACCTGTTAGCTACATGCCAGACCCTCTGTGATGACGCTGTGGCCAGACAGAGGCTGCAGGGCCATTGGGGATACCTCCTCCCTACCCCAGATGCAGGTGCTAATGCCCCTGAGCCACGAGGGCCTGTCTTCCACATGCCGGAAGCTCGGTGGGTGTTACTGGAGGCACTGTGGGGTTGGCCCCCTTTACAGCGTGGCTCTGGCTCCTTCCGAGAAGCAGAAGATGGAGACAGTCTACTGTGTGTGGCTGGGGAAGCCACGGACTTCTCCACAAGTGAGCATGAGCTGCTACCCTATTGCTTCAGAGGATGCCCTGTGCCTGCATAGCTACTCAGAAGGACACCAGAGCACACCTTGCAAGCGGCCTAGCTCTCCCTGGCGTAGCCTAGCAGCCACCTAACCGTGGCCTGGCTAGATTCTTGGCCCAGCTGGGGGTGTGCCCAGGCAAGCAGTTCAGCACAACTGTACATCCGTCCTCCTTTGGAAGCTCGAGGCAGACCCATGTGGGTCCTTATTCTGCCGGCCACAGGGGCTGGCCGCCTTGGAGTGGGATGGCTGTGGGCGCCTGCAGGGAGCTGGCCTGGGCCTCAGTGCTGTCCCTGGAATGTCTGGGTGGACGTGTGCCTAAGGTGGGACAGGTCCCAGCTGGGTTAAGTCTCATTCTCCATGATGCCCCATTGGGATCGGACAGACTGTTGACTCGCTGCTTCTCCTGAAGAAGTATGTAGGCTGTTTGGTATTCTGTGCTTTAGAAATGTGCTGTTGCAAATAGGAGCTACATAGGCTTTGCTTTTAAGCATACCCGAGTCTCTGGTCAAGTAAGGTAATGATTCCCAGAGACTGGGGTCAAATTGATGACTTCTGTGAGCGTGTGCCATCCCTCTGGAGAGCAGGAAAAAGGACTGGAACCCATAGTCAGGGCAAAAAGCACACCCTCCAGGTCGCCAACCATTTCTAGATGGTGGGGGCACAGGACCAGCGTGGGCCTGCAGGTCTCCCAGCAGGCAAGGAACAGAGGGCAGGGGCCCCGGGCCCCAGAATCTGTGCCTGGCTGGTGCCCGTGCGAGGTTGATGTAAAAACTTGGTAGCATTCTTCTCTTCCAGCGAAAGCCAACGGGAAAGCCTCGCAGAGAATAAGATCCCATTCACAACAAATTCTGTGTGGTGTTTTGGGATTCGTCTTAAAAAGCTTATGAGATGTTTACAGGGAAAGTCTTTAGCCTCTGCTTTGAGAGGTGTACACAAAACTCAGCTAATGGTTCTCCCCAGAGTCAGTTAATCCTAAGGTGAATTCATTTGTTACCACTTCAGTGCAGTCTCACTCAGTGTGTGCAGCTGTGGTGGGCCTGAACTGTCCGCAGACCCCTCCAGGGTGTGCTGTGTTTGGGAGGCATCGGGCACAATGAAGCCACCCACATTTAGAGCCATTTCAAGCCGCAAGACAAGCTGAGTCACAGGGTGGACAGGCGTGGACCCAGCTGAGCTGGGCACCTCAACATTACTAGGTTGTTCCTGGGCCCAGGTGACATCTGGTGCTGTTTTTTTCCATGTAGGTTTTCACTGTAGTTGAGACCATGTACAAAAAAATACAACCAACAGAAAACAAAAAGTGATAGATTATTCTATGCTATAAAGGAATAGTTTATTTTATCTGAAGATGCTGTGCTAGAACTAAAATTTGGTTTAACGTAAAAATAAGTTCGATGTGGAAACTCAAATTGTGAGCATGGCTTTATGTTCTGGAAACCTCTCCACACATTCTTTTGCTGGGTAGCGTTGCCACCCACGGGGTGTTGGGAGAGACCTCACACAGCCTCCCTTCGGCACGCGAAGGGCGGCGAGGCGGCTGACCTGTGCCTTCCTGTCTCCCCAGCTACCCATACAGCGAAGACTCCCGCCAGGGCGAGCAGTACATGAACACCCGGTGCCCGGCCTGGTGTGACCGCATCCTCATGTCCCCGTCCGCCAAGGAGCTGGTGCTGAGGGTAAGTGTGGAGTGAACCCCAGGTCCACTCCAGCCAGGCCTCGGTGGCGCGGGGACGGGGGGGTGGGCCACGCAGCCCCAGCCTCGTCCTGCAGCGAGCTGAACCCCAGCCTGGCCGCCTCCAAGCCAGTGCCCGGGCCTGAGGCAATGGCAGCCGCACCGAGGCTGTGGGCCCACAAGCAGCCGTGTTGTCACAAGCTTGAGCTGTGCGTGCGGGGTCAGCAGGAAGTGTTTCCAAAAGCACAGTTCACTGTATACTGGGAAATAAATATGCTCTTGTCCACACAAAGTTCACAGGCCATAAAGCATGACAGGAACGTCTATAGTGGTTTTCTTAAGTTGTAAATCAGAGCCAAATTCTATTTGGGCTTGAAAAGTTGAAAATGAATGGGTAACGTTTTCAGGAGGTGACTCACTGCACTGGGTGTTGGGAAATTGTCATTTTTTGTGATTTTTGGTTTCCCGTTTGAACAGAAAAGTAGTGTTTTCAGCAGCATCCGTATCAGAATTGGTTTTGTCAGCCCCCTCAGGGATAAAATAATACTAATGAAATGCGGTAGCAGCTTGAAACTCAGTGTTCAGAGCATGGGTCTCTGGCCATGATGTGGGTGGGCAGTTAGGAGGAAACTCTGTGCCCCAATCCCCACGGCCCCGGGTCCCAAGTAGGGGCAAGAACCTCCCAGCCCCTAACCTCAACAAAGGCCATGCTAGGCTCTCATCGGCTGAGGTGCCCCATCTGTGCCCCTGTGCCAGGCAGCCAGACCCAGGCCCTCTTAGCGAGCCCCACATCGCGGGCACCAGCCCTGCAGACAGCAGAGCACACTGGAGTCAGGGGTCCCAACCAGGAAGTGCAGAGACTGTGCATGCGCCCTTGGAGCAAGCACCACACCCTGCCACCCACATGTCCTGTTCCCTAAGAGGCACCCTCCCCGGCTCAGTGGGTGGCCCTGCCAGCCTCTGCACTGAGAGCCCTGTGGCCTTCTTTGGTGTGGCACTGCCTGCCAGGTGGGGAGCCCGGGCTGGAGGCAGGGGCCCTTGGCCAGAAGCCCCTGTGTCTGCAGCGAACTTGGCTCCTTGGCAGCCCCACCTCTGCCTCCCGGGCAGTGCCCGTGCCTGGCTGTGACGCCCTTGCACCTGGGGCCCACCACCAAGGCAAGGCCATGCTTCGAAGGAAGCTGTGTCTGGACACTGGCCACAAGCCCAAAAACCCGGGAGTGGGCTGGGCCTGCGCCTGGCCTTAGACAGACTCCCGCCCTCTCTGGACACCTGTTAGCCCCATGTGGAGATCAGTCTTGGTCAAGTCACACAGGAGCTCGTGGTGGGCTCTGAGCGTGGGTCAGGCATGTGGAGCACGGGGCTGCTGGGGGAACCGGAGCCTTTGGGGACTTGGGTAGAGAGAAAAACAGACATCGTCTACCGGGAAAGTGACTAAGATCACAAAACTGCATTTGCTGGTCAACTCCTGAGAGCAAAAGTCTGGGGCCCATAGGGCCTGCCTGCACCATGCTGCTGTGGCTGGGGCTCAGCCTGCTCAGAGGAGGGTGTGTTTCATCTTGTTTTCCATTTGCTCACATCCTCCTCTGGTTCTTTGGACCCAGGATTTGCAGCTTTAAGCTCAGATTGGGAGCCGGAGCTCTGCTGTGTCTTCAGGCCGACAGCCCGTCCACTTGGGGGCCACGGGAGGCGCCTGGGGGCCGGATCCGGGACAGGCCCTCCCCCTGGGGCTGCCGAGCAGACGGGCGCCGTGCGTGCCTCCGTGGCTCATCCATCATGACACGCGCCGCCGCCCCGTCGTCAGGCTCCGTTCTGCCTCTTGAGCCCCCAGACGCCCACAGTGGCTCCGGGTGCGGGCGCTCGCTGCCTGGGCGGCTTGGTGATGAATGCTCAGCGAGGTGTGCCCATGTTCCGCCGGCACCCATAGTAATTTGTTTATCTGTCCAAAGATTATGCAGTTGAAAATCCACAATTTTATGCTGCCTTTGTAAATTACCACGCCGCGTATGATGAATGTTTCCCCACTTCCGCAGAGGTGCGGCCGCCGTGGGAGATTGGAAGGTGCTCATGCATACGCTGCCTGCCGAGGCTGTGTTTTTATGCTTTCTGGCAGGCAACCACACTGGAAAGTAAATCTGACCTTAAGCTTCCTACTGCATTAAAGATAATTCAGTTTTAACTTTATAGTCTCAGATGCTTCAGCGGCGGATGTGAAATTCCAGCCTATTCGGAGCTGACTGATTACCAGCAACAAACCCTTTACTGTTGTGCCCCAAATAAAGGCATCTGTCAAGAAGTGTGCACACGGCAGTGAATTAGTATGCACAGATTGCGTTGTGTTGCGGTGTGGAGTTCCATGCCGGCTCTCGTTTGAACAGGGAGTTCTGGGTTAATGGAACAGCCTGTCAAAAACAAAGGTAAACAGGGAAAATGGGAAATAGATGAGCTGCTTCCATCAGAGGTGGCACACTTGAAAGGAAAGCGCAGAGTTGCACTAATTGCAGTGAGTGCAGGGTCCATGCCTCCCCCTGGGGACACAGGACGGCCGGGTACCCCCAGCCACCCTGCGCCAGCCCCTCTGTTTCCTTTTCCTAGTCGGAGAGCGAGGAGAAGGTTGTTACCTACGACCACATCGGGCCCAATGTCTGCATGGGAGACCACAAGGTAACGTCAGCTGCACTGGGTTGGGGCCAGGCGGCAGGAGGGCACTGGGGGGGCCGGTCTTCTCAGCTCCCGCACTCCTGTCTCCTTCGTGTGACTGCAGAGCGGGCCAAGTTGGTTTAGTTTAATTTCAGTAAGATACTGGAAGGTAGGTAGGAAGACGGCAGAAACGACTAGTCATGATAGAGTAAAATACACAATTCTACTGTTTGTAAAAAAGCATTTCATCTCCAGCTGATTGTTCCCGAAGGCTTTCTTTCGAGGGTGCACTGGGCATTTCGGTGGCCTTCCTTTGCAAGCATAGTGTGAACAGAGCAGAAGAGTGTCGAACGTGTCACAGGCCGGGGGCTCCAGGGGAGGTGCTGATGGTGTAGCGTATTTATACAGGGACTGTGTGTAACACTGGAGCAGTCCAGCAGTGCTCACAGAGGTGACGCCAGGTGACAGGTCACGTCTCTCTTTAGCCAGATTGTGAGTTCACTTCCTCGCCTTCAAGACTACTGAGCGCATCCAGATGAGATGCAGAGCTGAGGGTGGGAGCTCTTTCCATCCCCGCTGTATTTGGGGCTTATTTAGTTCTTTAGGTAGTTTTTTTATCTGGAAGCGACACCTTCCTTGCCAAACATGAGGGCTGTCTTGGGCCTCTGGTGGCCGGTCTTGGGCTCCAGCTCCCGTTGACATTGACGGGGTCCCCGTGAGGAGGGCTGCATGGCCTTTGCGGCCACCAGCTCCTCTGGGCTCAGCTCGAGGCTGTCCTCCTGAGACGCTGAAGGTGGGGCTGCTGAGGGTGTGGCTGTGGGTGGCGGTGTGTTGGGCCGTCGCCTGTGTGTGCTGTGCTGACGCCTCCTCTCTTCCCGCCGCAGCCCGTGTTCCTGGCCTTCCGAATCACGCCCGGGGCAGGTAAACCTCATGCACATGTGCACAAGTGTTGTGTCGTGCAGTGACGTGGTGGTAAATATGGCTCCTTCCCTCTAGTTCACCTTTTTGCAGCTTTTCCTGGTGTGTTTGTTCCTTTAACGAATGACGGATTCCATAGCAGGGAAGAGATGTCAGCGCCTCGAGAGGCCCCTCCAAGAGACCTCCCTGTAGCAGTATACGAATACGCACTCTCAACAGCTGCATCGAGAACCCGCCCGAGCGCCACCCGCTAGCCGGCCGGCCCACACTTCGCTTCAGCCTCCGGACCATCCGGAAAAGCCTCACATACCTCACTGTCTTGTCTGTTCATGTGGCATTAAGTAGAAACATTGGGTTTTTTAAACAATCACAGTCCTGTTGCCAAAACTCTAATAGACAGCAAAGAGAACCTGTCCCTTAGACTTCACAGTTTTCAGTTTCTTACGATCGTCAGTGGAGGGGCTTCCAGCGTTTAGACCCCAGTGTCCGGCGTCCCCCTCCAGGTGGACCATGCCGGGCCGGACAGGCGGAGGTGGGCGCTCCCTTGGCTGGCCAGGCAGCGTGGCCCTGAGCACTCAGGGACCGTCTGCCTCTTCCAGCGCCCCCGCTCCCCCGGGGGTGTCCACTCTGCGCCATGTCACATGGTTTTTGAATCACACTGCAGCTGCTTTCCATTTTGATATATATAAATATATATATATATATACTTTTTAAAAATAATTTATAAATCTTACCAAAACATATGCTAAATAGTACTTTCCAGTATGAATGCACAAGAGTGTCAAATCAGCCGGTAGAATTGGAGTCTCGGAGTTTAGCTACGTGTCTGTCAACACCACATCAAACAAGTATGACCTAGATTGCCATCATGGGTGCAAGTCAACCCTGCAGCACGTCTACACTAGCAGTTTGTTACTCCTATGCCTTGTTTCTTGTAATATTAAGAACTGAATGTGAAGTTTATAGCTAGCCTGGGTGTACCTTTTAAGAATTTTGTAAACCGTTTTGTCCGTTTTTTGTTACCGTTTTATGGTGCCAAGTATTCTACATTAAAACAATAATATCATGGGAGAAATAGCCTAGTCTGCTTCCAGTAGAAATTGCTTTTAACATGGGCTGTATATAAAAATATTAAAGAGAAAACTGTACATTTCCTTGGTTGCTGTGCTACAAACAACCTATGTAATAACCTTGTTGCAAATATTTTTCTTCTAGCACTAAGTACAGCATTAAAAGGTGATTAGAGAGTCTGTTGATGAAACACAAATGTATGTTTTATTGATTTTACTTTAGAACACTACAGAGTTCCTGGACTGGGTGAAGGCATCAGATCGATGTTCGTTTTTTATATAAATCACTACCACTGCGAGTGATTTGAGTCCGCTTGCCAAGCCTGTTCCCGAGGGCCAGACCGGGTCTGAGATGCGCGTGGTCCCCGCCGTCCGCGCCGCGGCGGTTCCAGAGCAGCGTCCGCGCCGCGGCTTTGGGCTGCTGGTCCTTCCGAGGCCGCTGGGAGTGACTCCTCCGGTTCTAAGCAATAAAAGTGGCCGTGGTGAAGACAGCTCTGTGCTGGTGTTTTCCTTCCTTTCCGCTTCCCATTGAAATGCTAAGTGACGGAGCGTCCTCCCTTGTGCCCTGTTATTTGAGATCAAGCTCATTAGAAATCTCGGAATTTCACGGGATCACATACGGCTACAAAGGCTAAGCCATTACTGGGAGTAGAAAAATAGCCTTCTGGACTGTTTACCCTCATCAAAGACTTATCTCTTCACATTTTAAAATGGAATTGTGTAGGTGCTTTGCTTTCCCCGAAGCTGGGCAACGGGACGTTTCTCCGGCTCTTGGCTCGCGCTCGCAGAAACAGCTCGCCCCTTACACATCGCCCCCTCAGAGAAAACCGGCCGGTGGTTCGCAGGAAGGGGGCTTTAAAATAGCCTTACAGCCGAGTGGCCCCAGGTAACGGCGCGAACTGAATCACGCCTGTTACGTTCTCTCTAAGGTCCTCAAACGTGCCTTCCGGGAGAAATCTTACCGTGGAGCCATGCGGTTATCCGCGTTTGCTTCCCGGACTTACACTCAGCAGGGCGGCCCGCGAAGACTCGGCAGCCCGGCATCCGCCACGGAAGGCCGGGCGGCGGGGGCTCTTTGCGCGC